CACACACCGGGATCGTCATAATATGCGTTTTCGCATTTGCATACATGCAAAAACGCATAAAAACTACCGCTAAACAGAATTTGCTTATTAAATTTTATGCAAAATTTATGATTTACGGTATTGAGCGCACAGAGTAGGTGTGAAGAAACAACCGTTCATGCAGTTAACCTAATTACTTCAAGTTTGGTGCAAAAATGTATGATCGCACCGGTTCGCCTGGTGCGTTCCAGTCTGAGTTATGTGTAAATGTGCTCACTGTAATAATAAGTGAACCAGAGCTACGAGAGCTAGTAAACTGAAATTAGCGTACATAACCACTGAAAAGTATGAGGCGGTAACCTTCCTATTCTTGGCATGTGACCTCACGCTCAGATGTAAATCGTGAATCAAAAAAATCTAGGAATGCAAATATTGAGGGTTGAGTTCTTCAGTCAGTTCGGGAAAAATAACTCCAAATCAGATACAGAGTTGGTCTCAAGTCCGAAGCTTACACAGTTCTAGAGTTACGGAAGTTAAAGGCTGGAAATTTTAGAAGGCCAACATCTAATGTGCAGGTAAGTCAAGGCAAAACTTAAAGGGTAATTGCATGCCCAGCTCTGAAGTTGGGTTCAATTCCGATCTGATTTTGTAGCTCAAGAACAAAATTTCAAATTTTTGGCTGAACCCCTACGATGAACTGATTGAGTTACGCCAGCTTTGATCCTCCTCGTTTTCTGTTCAGTGGCCATACGATCGAATGCAGACTGATACTCCTTTAAGATGAATCTGAGAAGCTTTTATGCACTGAATCGGGTTGAATACCTTAAAAAGCTTGCAGCAGAGCCGTGTACTTGTAACTGTCACACGGCACGCGCTGCCGATTATTTTGTTGTTTCTGTAGAACGAATTGCAGTATTTATTAAAAAGTATGAATGTAAAAAGGGAAAGAGGAAAGAGGACGGAGAGAGGAAGCGCAGTGCTCGCCCAAACATTGAAGACGGTGCGTACGTTTCTTCGTTGTTTCGCATGTGGACATATGTTCGTAAAAAGAAGTACCTTTTGACTGTTTTTCTCCTTTTGACAGCAAAAAGTCATTTTTTTTTGTGCTGTTTATTTGCAGGAATCGTTCTTTGCCGACTATCCGGACTCCATCGCTTTTCTGGCAGTAGTTGCTGTGGCAATATTCACCGGCCTTGGCTCTAAAATCTCCACCAGTTTCAATTCTTTATTCACTGTGATCAACATGCTGGTCAGTTCCGCAATCCCGTTGTTGGGTAGTCTCATTTCCGTTCACGCGTAAAGTTTTTCCTCAGAAAACATCCGAAACCCGTATACCGCTGAATTCGTGGGAGCGATGGTGTGGATGAGGCGTGAAGGGGCTGAGAGACGAGCTATTGCTAGACAAATGAATTTGCACCCGGGGTACCAAATGGCCAACACGAGAGATAGAAATCATCATTTCTTGAAACTTGTAAATAATTTTAGCCAAAAATGTCACCCTGTAGTAAATGAATAAGATGGGGGAAGGGAACGGGTAGAAAGCGTGTCCGATTCAATATGAATGTTCCTTGCGTTCAGAAACACTTCGATTCAAACTTTAATCGCTCAATTATTTTTAAGCGTCCGCGATTCAACATTGAATTTCCTAAAATCATTTCCATTATCCTTTCCGATCTTCTGCATTACGGTATG